GGGCTACTAAATTTACTGGACAACTTCTAATTAATAAGCTAGGAAAGGATGGTCGATGCAAAAGGCCATCAAAGCACCTCTAAAAACAAAATGGCTCTTTTAATACAATTAGGAGTTGTTTAGTACTAACCATTTCCGCGGTTTTAAATTTTAGCTGTTTTTGCTCATGAAAAACATATCTGGGAAATATTTACATTCCTGAAATTAGCAACTATACCGTCTCCGTATATGGAAAGCACATAATTTGATCGAAACTCTTCGAAATTGTACGGATTTATTTGTCTCACAGGATGAGATTAAACTATTTTTACAAATCTAAGCTTGATTCACATGAGGTTCTACTTCTATTTCGTTCAACATTATTAATAAGTGATAGCTCCGCCTTTTCGATGCGAACTTTAATGTCCATTGCAGATTAACCTATATTCTTACCAACAGCTTCAACCTTATTATGGATTATTATGGATTAACCAACATCTTTATCGCTTCTGCATCTAGGTACTCGTAGGAGCGTCTGATCAGCCCAAGCAGTTTATTAGATTTACTAACTTGTGTTTGAACGTGCCTAGAAACTTTCAGCTGTGTGTTAACATAAACTCTCAGATATTCTTCCACTGCCGACATTACAATCACAAATCACTATTTGTGACCATATCTTCTTATTCTGCATGTTTTTTCTTCATTGTTACTAAATACTAAAATTCAGTAGAACTCACCTTTTGTACAAATCAAATGCATCATTCACCAGATGAATGAACACCTTCATTTTATCGCAAGATATTTGCAGTCGCCACCCTTAAAGGCATATTGATACATTAAACACAGCTGTTCGTATTGAAGTCGGTGAGGGACTCGATTTCTGAGAGGGAAGCCAAGATCATTTCATTCGGGAATATTGATTTTTAGATTATTAATTTTGAGAGACATTCATCCGACTAACGGCACATGATAAAACTCCAATCAACACGAGCAAGCAAGATGAATGGTTAATAAAAAATAACAAATAATTCGTTCCTTTTACGAACAACATGCAGGGATTAGTGCTACTATCATTTGATGTTTTAATCATGTAAAACCTTTATATTTTAACAGAAATTTTCAAAAGCAGCGTTATCTAATATTTAGAGACGGCTGCAGGCTGCTGCGGTCTCTAAGCATCTCCGACCCTACCGAGCACTAACGCCTGCTGTGAGGTGGCTCAGCCTGTATACGGCGCTGTTGAGTTTTCCTGTTCGGCGACAACGATTTAAATATAAATTTTGAATTTTATTAATATTAACAGTACTTCCTTCGCCGAGATCGCAAATACTTCATTCGAACAGTGAACGGTTGTATTTTGATTTCGTTTTTCCGAAATTTAAATCATTTGATTATGATATACCGTATGCGATGCACACAAAATTGGCTATTTATATACATCCAAAATAAAGCGATAGCTACTTCAGAATGAAATTTAATTCGCCAAAATCCGATTTAATAAGAATATGCGTCTTTAGGCTTGCCAGTATCGGGAGTAACATCGTAATATTCTTTTTATACCAGTATTCCGAAAAAGTTTTGCATTATTTTACTTAGTGCATGAAATTTTTTTCATTAGCAAGTCGTAATTATTTTCATGAGCGCTCTTATTGAATTTATTTTATTTGTTGCTGATATAACAAAAATTTGATATTGACGTACAAAATTTTCATCTCTGCGACCAAAATTTGTCGTTAAATTTCGTAACCCATTACTCTGAATTAGAAGTAGCTGGACTGCATTTAAAATTACTTCATTCGGACGTAATATTTAACCATTTAGGTCATTCATGAAATTTTGAGGAAACTTAGACTTTTAAGAGTGTTTGAGCCTCGCGATAATCTTGAAATGCTACGGGCTCGTGCAGTTCAAATCTATTTAATACTGCCGAATGATTGTACGTGTACTTGTAGCATGGCACTGTTATTACATATATAGTGGCTATTTAGGCACGGTATCTCAATGAATATCGTTGAGGATGTTACCTAGATCTGGAATTTCATTTGTAGTGGTCAAGTCATTATGAGAAGTGATTTATGAATTAAATTTTAAATCATATAGTTTGATTATGCGCATTTAATTTTTTGCAGGAATCATAAATTTAAATTTCTTTTCATCTTCAAATCGAAGTCAAAACAAATTTTATTTTGTCAGTCGAGTATTTAATTAAATCAGTTTGAAAACTATTATGGAATTTGAGTAGAACTGGGTTCTGGAAATCTCAAGTTTATTCTATTTGCGACACTGACGGTATAATTAAGCTGCTAATCATTTCTACTGAATTGACTACTCCTAGCACAGTTCTCGACGCAGTGACTAATTTACTGCACTCGACCCAAGGTTATTTCCTGAATAAATTACCGTTAATCAATTATCATGAAGTTCGTTCAGCTCGCTATTCTGTTGCACCGCTTAAGCAACACCTGCGCTGTCTACTGGATTGACGAGAGCAACCGAAGCAACTGTGGCTTGAGCTCATGTGGACCCATGACCATTAATGCTGACAGCAAAATAATGTGCGGCAGTTACTGTAGCACTATGGGCTGTGACTTATTTGAAGTTGACAACGGTGAGTGTAAATAGATACATAGATCAGTAATTTTCAAAAGCTCGATAATTAACGGTTAATGGTTAGGCCGTGATGTCGCCAACAAATTTACAACACTTCTCTTTAACTTCACTTCTTGTTTGTTTGTTTGTCTGCTACAAATATTATCGATATTTAATACACTTCTACCTGCCCAATCAATCTGAAATTTTACACACTTGCGTAAGTTATCATGAATCGATTGACAGAATAAATAATTTAGAAATTTTAATTTTTTCTATAATAAAAATAAATTTAAAATTAATTTTTATAATATTTGAAAATAAAATTAGAAATTCATTGTACATGTGCAACATCGGAGACACTGGATTCTTCAGAAGTGTTGTCTTTAAGAAGTAATTTTTATACGTATGTTATTAATTGTGATTTTAATATTTTTAACACGTAAATTTAGCTAAAATGCACATTATTTTAATTCAAAATTTTGAGAAAATAATGCTCTTTTTAAGTAAAGTGAGCATGTATTTTTAATTTGGATTTTAATATTTTTACCACGTAATTTTACCTAAAACGCACATTATTTGAGCTAAACATTTAAAGAAAATAATGCCCTTCTTAAGTAAATTGACTATTTATTTTTAATTTTAATTCGAATATTTAGCAAGAGTTCTCTTTAACTTAACTTCTTGTTTGTTTGTTTGTGTGCTACAAATCTTATACTCGATATTTAACACACTTCTACCTGTTCAATCGATCTGAAATTTTGCACAAATTTTTACATTTTTTCGCATAAAAAATTGAAAAAATACTTTTTTTAAATATTTAAAAATAAAATAAGAAATTCATTGTAGATGTGTAATATCGGAGACACTAACCTCTTTAGAAGTGTTGTCTTTAAAATGTAAATTTTAAGGGGGAGGTATACCCTAAAATTTTCAGATTTGGCATTTTTGGGTTTTAATCTCATCTTAAAGCTGAAATTCTGCTCTTTCCAATGGTACCACTGCCATCCCTGTACGTAAATATTTACGTTCATGACGTCTCTTTAAAGGGAAGCGGGTGGGAGAGTTCTTTAACTAATTAGATATAAAGTAATTAGCTGCTGAAATCTTTGAATATAGTTTCTACTTTAGTTGTGCTGCAGTTACATGCTTAGTCTCATCTTAAAGCTGACATTCTGCGCTTTCTAACGATACTACTGCGATCCATGTACGTCAATATTTACGCACACGGCTGGTATTTAACGGGGGGCGGGGGGGAGGGAGTTCCTTCACTAATAGATCCAAGGAAATTAGACCGGCAAGACTAGATATATGGCAGTATCTGGCATCTGAGCTCAGTTACCCTCCTAACTTTGTACGTAGAGGTGTGCTACAAGTCGCTGCTAGCATCCTTGAGTGGATTAAGCTACAGAAGCCTGTAGTTTGGCATCCATGATGCATTGAGTGCCTATTTCGAGGCGCACGAAACTTTGTCGCGCCGTCCTGAAAAGTTTAACTTATTGTCACGGAAAAGCCTACTCCTCCTAGAGTTTTGAAGCTACAGCGATGAGACATATACCATTCTATTCGTAAAGACCATACCTATCGAGTAACGAGGCCTTTTTTACAACACTTCTCTTTAACCTGTCTCTTATACACATCTAGATGTGTATAAGAGACAGATTTTACAGCGGAAGTGAAAATATAGTTAATTTTAATCACAACTATTCCNCGACGGGGATAACACTACTGTGTTTCACTCGCTGGACCAACCTTGGCTTCTGATCGACTTGATAAGTTGCGTGCGAGTTGAAAAAATCAGAGTGCTACCTTACACTCTGTTGCCAAATCAAGTGGAACGCTTCGTGGATATTCAGGTGAATATCTAGAGATATTCTGTATATTTTTTTCTTAATGGGGTTAACGCTGAATGTTCCGCATAAATTAAAGTCTAATGGAGTTTTCATAAGAACGAAAGCATCAGTTAATGACGATTTACTCTCACGTAACAATTCCTTGTCAACTGAGAAATAGCAGACGTTAACAGTTTAAGCCATAACGATGAGATAAATTATTGTCATTTCTTGCCATTTTCATTTAAGCATTGAATTATCAGATTATGTTTCGATTTTGTTAAGTAACACGTACAAATTAGCGATTTGAAAGAATTTCTTCAACTATTCTTGTGTACGATAAGGTTTAATCGAGAAAGTAAGCGAACATCGTGCAACCGAGATCAGACTATTGTCATCAGGTATCGTTTCATCCGTTGGATAGTCGATAAATTTCCAGGATTTCAGTTATACAGTACAATATTACAACTGTGAAACAACATTGTATTATCATAAAGTATTCATCAATACAATATGACAACTGATGAATACAATATGACTGTTTTCATTTTCACACCGTCAGACAATACAAAATGAAACTCCTCATTTTCACACTATCAGTTCCTGGGCGGCGTGAACCCTCCTGCTAGCCCAGGAGACTTCAGTGCCTACACAGTGCTGGCCTACTACGCCGGTCCTCCAGCACTAGGAAGTCTGCAGTGGATAGAATTCAACCTATCGTCGCCCGTCTGCTCCCGCTACGTGGCTGTCAACAAACGCGCGCAGCATCCGTATCCATTCTACCTGCTGGTGGTTGTAGATTTGGAGATCTGGACTTCGTACTAATTAATGCAACTTTCTCTCTAATTTTTAGCGCATTTTCTCATTTATGGAAAAAAATGCACTATTGTGCTCGCCATGTCCGTCTGTCTGTCTGTCCGTTCGTGACCTCAAGTTTTCGTCGACGAGAAAATGCGCTCTCTGTCACTCACTGCAGTGAGTACTGAGTTATATATATTTTTTTCTTTCTGTCAATTAGTTGACTGCTAATTAACCTTTCACTTCAAGCCCGTTTTGGCAGTTGCCATAGGTTTTTATTTAATTGAAATTATTCAATACATTTTTACATTACATTTTATGTTAACTGTGATGCTGGATCAAGTGCCTTCGTATGAAATCTAGGTTCACATTAAAATCGTTAAAAGTTGAAATTTCCAATGAGATCACGTAAAGTTGGATAGACTCCCTCGATAACATATACTACTCCAAATAAGATAACATTTGCGTTACGATTAATTCGCTGCAAAACCTCTTAATTGAGGCTCAATAACCCAAACTTAATAATTAGATGTGTATAAGAGACAGAAGCAGACCATGATATCAATCTTGAAAAATTCATGGCTGCGGTCATGCGCCGAAACATAACGCTCAACGACTCTAAAACCATAAAATCGGTACCCAGTATCAATATTCTGGGATATTGTGTGGGAAATGGGGTCATTAAGCCCGACTCAGAGAGACTTCGTCCCCTTCAAGAGCTTCCGCCTCCCACAAATAAGTCTTCCTTGCTGAGAGCCCTGGGTATGTTTGCGTACTATGCGAAGTGGATTGAGAATTTCTCGGACAAGATTCACCCGCTAGTCAACACAAAATCCTTTCCACTCGATCAAAACGCTTTGTCTGCTTTCGAAACTCTCAAGTCACAACTGGCCAGCGCAACTTTAACGTCCATCGACGAGGAATTGCCTTTTGTTGTAGAATGTGATGCTTCAGACGTGGCAGTGTCAGCAGTCTTGAACCAGGGTGGACGTCCAGTTGCCTTTATGTCAAGAACTCTACATGGGAGCGAATTGCATTACCCTGCTGTTGAGAAGGAAGCAACGGCTATCATAGAAGCGGTGCGTAAATGGAACCATCTTCTGGCCAGACGCCCTTTCACTTTGATCACGGATCAACGGTCAGTGGCTTTTATGCTGGACAGAAAGAAGAGGACTAAGATAAAAAACAACAAAATACATCTATGGAGGTTAGAGCTGGCATCATTCAGCTACTCGATCAAATATCGTCCAGGGAAGGATAACGTCACTGCTGATGCGCTGACAAGAGCCTCGTGCTGTTCATCCTTCCGGTCCTCCACACTCGTAGAAATTCATAATGGACTGTGTCATCCGGGAGTCAGAAGAATGCTACACTTCGTTAGAACGAAGAATCTCCCATTCTCAACCGAAGATGTCAAACGGACGTGTGCCTCTTGTAGAATATGCGCAGAATTGAAGCCTCGGTTCTTCAGGGCTGAAGAAGGGACCCTCATTAAAGCCACGCAGCCAATGGAGCGTCTCAGTATTGACTTCAAGGGACCTATCCCATCAGCTACGAAAAATACGTACATCCTAACAATAGTTGACGAATATTCTCGTTTTCCGTTCGCTTTCCCATGCCCAAATACGCAGTGTTCCACGGTGATCAAATGCCTCGAAACCGTCTTTACCCTCTGTGGCATGCCTAATTACATTCATTCAGACAGAGGTTCTTCGTTCATGTCATCAGAACTCAAAGATTATCTCTCGCAGAAAGGAGTAGCTACAAGTCGTACAACTCCTTATCATAGTACAGGCAACGCGCAGTGCGAGAGGTATAACGGAATAATTTGGAAATCGGTCCAACTTTCACTGAGAAATTATCACTTGGCCGACCATCAGTGGGAAAGGGTGCTGCCGACCGCTTTACACTCAATCCGGTCCCTGCTTTCGACTTCAACGAATGTGACACCGCATGAAAGGTTCTTTGCCTTTCAACGAAGATCTTCACACGGAGTTTCGCTCCCATCATGGCTAGGATCGCCAGGACCAGTTCTTCTAAGACGATTCGTTCGTCACTCTAAACAAGATCCGATGGTTGACGAGGTGGNGTACAACGTCAGCAGCGGTACAGCACAACGTCAGCAGCGGTACAGCACAACGTCAGCAGCGGTACAGCACAACGGTAACTGGGATGAATTTATTCAAGGAAACGGCGAATTGATGCAGTGGATGGGCATCAATATAATATAATTTGGTCAGGATATAATTGAAAGGCAAAAATTAGATCGCAAGATGACCAAGACAGAAGGCGAGGGGGGAAATATGGCGGGAAAGAAAAAAAATGGGTTTAAGGAAGGGTCATTGCATTCAAGACTGGTTTTATTTACATGCATGCCTACAGAGGCATCAGCAACGAGCAGGTTGTCCGCTGCCATGCTGGTCAGACACTCGTACTCCGACCGACCGACGAACAAACACTCCAGTGTGCCATGTGACGTGAGTAAAAGTGTACGTTGTGTGTTGCCACCGCTCTGCATTGAGCGTCGTTTCTAACTCTCAGCTCCCGTTTCACATTCTGAGCACAAAAATCTCAACTGAAAGTGAAAGTTTATAAGACTCTCATAGGCAGGCATGTTTGTTAATGGTGCCTACTGTCTGGTAGGAGATGATGCCATGCGGCGTATTGCAAAACCAGTGCGGCTCTGCTGATGCACTTCTGTAGTTGCAGCTGATGTAGTTATTTTCATTGTTGATGGTGCTGCTGATGTAGTTATTTCTTCTGTTGCCGGTGCTGCTGATGTAGCTACTTTTGCTGTTGCTGGTGCTGTTGAGGTAGCTATTTCTTCTGTTGCTGGTGCTACTGATTTAGCTATTTCTTCTGTTGCCGGTGCTGCTGGTGTAGCTATTTCTTCTGTTGCCGGTGCTGCTGGTGTAGCTATTTCTTTTGTTGCTGGTGCTGCTGATGTAGCTATTTCTTCTGTTGCTGGTGCTGCTGGTGTAGCTATTTCTTCTGTTGCTGGTGCTGCTGATGTAGCTATTTCTTCTGTTGCTGGTGCTGCTGATGTAGCTATTTCTTCTGTTGCTGGCGCTGCTGATGTAGCTATTTCTTCTGTTGCTGGCGCTGCTGTTACCGCTTCTGTTGTTGTTTGTGTTATGTTCCGGTCGCGTTCGATAACTCATCGTCTTGTTATTGGCAGTTGTTACGCCGGTGGACGCAACTACGCAAGATATTGATGCAGCTTTTATCGCTACTGAGACTTCTGCGTTTATCGCTGCAAGTACAGCTATTGCTGCTTCTATTGCTGTTATAGCTGCTATTACTGTTATATCAATAGCTGTTTTTTGCGCATTTGGGACCGCTGTTGTTGTCGCTGCTGTTTAGGCTCTGCTTTCATTTGCTTTGTACATTGTTCACTGCTGCTGATTGTGGCACTGCTAGTGTTTATGTCGTACCTGCTTCCATTGTTTTCGTTTCTATAGCTGCTCTTTCTTCTCACGCAAGGTCATCCTTCAGCATCATTGTCGTCCCGTAAATAAGTTGCTTTTGGAATCACTAGGAGGTTTAGGTACATAGCGGAAGTTCGTTCTCCAAATATAGAACACCATTGTCAGGTTACCTTTAAATTTGCCACCGCCCCACCTGCCCAATCTACATTGCCCTAGGGTACGTCTTGAGCGGTAGGGTGGGAAGAGGGGTGATGTCAGCTGCCTCGCTATCTGCTGGCCGCGAATGTGGCTTCCTGATCACCTCTTGATGACAAATGCAATCAAACCCTTGAGGATTTAGTGGTATTTCAGGTGTGAGAGATAGACATTTGTCTGGTGACAAGATCCGCAACTTTGTCACGCAGTATTTGTTTATATTTTTTATCCTCAGTCTTCTCACTCTGCTGTGCACCTCATGTTGAATAGTGTGACGCGACTGTATCTGAGAGTGACTTCAAGATACTCGGTTCCATTTTTGGCGATTCATATCTAAGGATTTTGGAATCGACGCATATTTTTAAACGTAAACTATGCGTCAATTACGCGCACACTGTACACCTGTTGTCCCCCTTGATATTGTTAATCGATAGTTTTTTTCCTTTGTTGTTAACTTAGTGTCAACTTAGGTTTTAATCTGTGTCGTGACTATTGTTGTTTGGCTGTGTTGAGCCTGAACGCATGTTAGAGACAAGGAAAATAATGTGTAAGAATGCACATCACGCATGTTGGACACAAGGAAAATAATGTGTGAGAATGCACATCACGCATGTTGGACACAAGGAAAATAATGTGTGAGAATGCACATCACGCATGGTGGACACAAGGAAAATAATGTGTGAGAATGCACATCTTCGCTGCATGTGACTACTGTTGGCAGAGCTGTTTCAGTGCTGCAAAGGAACGGTTGTAGATCGGTTTGACGGCTGTTCAATTGCCTTTTGCAAGCTGTTTGGCGATTATGTTGGGCTGTTAGGTGCGGTTTTTTTGAACGCTGTTAGATAGCATTTAAAATTCAATTCAATGAATTGTCGAAGCACTGTTCATTTGGCGTATCTTGAAGAAGAATAAAATCACCGAAATATACCATTCTTTTGCAGTTAAATTGTGTAAAAACTTTACAAAGACCAAGCTAATATGTGAAACTACTCGACTATATTTTTTTAAACAACAAGCAGCCAGGGTACACCATATATTATGTTAATTTTATTCTATTTTAATGACCGTCCAGCGACGCAGCTGCACTTTCATCTGTGCATGAGCAAGGCAGATATCGCTTTTAATTTCAGATAATTAATTTAATGCTGCCAAAAATTGTATAATAATGAAATGAATCAGAGCGGACCAATAGCCGTTGCTCCCAAGTGTATCTATTGACAACTTTAAATGAATTAGAGCAAGTGGAATTTTATAGAATCAGCGTTGGCTAAAAGTTTACAGCTTTTTCCCAATTACCGAGTTGCCAAAGTTTCAAGCTAAAACGTCGAGTAATCGTTGGTCACTGGGACCTTGAACTGTTTAACTCAGCTCAAGTGTTCACCTAGAAATACGGTATTATCATTAGTACTATCTATGAACTTCAAAGAAAAAATAATCATGAATATGAAAGAGATTCGCTATATTTATTTTGTTCGTGTAGAGTGAATTTATGGTGAATTTTATTGGTTTTATTGCCTTTCAATTTCCTGGTAAATAAGATATTCTAGCAATCAAATTATTTTAATGCTAGGACGAACGATTTTTTCGTTTAGTTACCATCGACATCAAGTTTAATTCCTGAATAATGCTGTGTACTATTTGTTCACTAAATTTTATTCCTCCGCAGATCCTTCAAGATGGCCGGCGCTGGATCTATTGCCAGCCCTCCTACGTCCGCAGTTAATTTGAGCGACAAAACCATCAACACTTGCCTATGCAATATTTTCGCTAACTTGCATCTTAGTCCATTAGTCATGGGAACTATTGTAAAGACGGAATGTCAGGGAAAGAAAGATTATGAGACTTATAGAAAATACTTGGATCGTTTGCGAACAGAGAAAAACGAACCAGTTTTCTCCAATAGAGAATGGAAACAAGAATTTGGTTTCAACTCAGAAATTTTTGCCCAAGAGACGAGTCCTGCTAACTTCGATGTCACTGCTATCTTCTGTTTGCTTTCCCACATTTTCACAAAAGTTAGAAGATATGATACGAGTACGAGCAAAGAAATGTTTGACAAGTTGCGTGTCGTCAAGAATATGCGAAACAACGTTTTCCACAATATGGATCAACTTCAGAACGAGAAAAATTTTGATGATCTGACATCAGCATTGTTTGATCTAATAGAAGAAGCCGGAAGATTTTACTCAGTTTCAATGGACCCAAGTATTTTATCTTTTCCTTCTGATGTTATGAAACAAAAGCTTAGTGATGAAATAGACCAACTGAAGGGCTTGGACAAAAATGACATTCATTACTGGGTATCGAGGTTGGTTTTGGACGGAAAAGAAGCCATAAGACTTCTCTGGGTGCCAACGCTATCCTGCGAAATGCTTATGTTGAGCCACGACGTGGTTCTACGCCAAGACGTATTCCACGCCCTTGACGTAATGGTGAGGGAAGGCAGCAGCGAAAATGTCCTCCCATACACCAAAATTTTTGAGGCATCGGAACAGGTGGTGGTGGTAACAGGGGTTGCTGGTGCTGGTAAGACAACACTCCTGAAAAACATCATGCTCCAATTTTTCATGCATGTGGATGCTGATTACTTGATCTCATTTGACCTGCTCATCTTTTTCGAGTGCAGAGATCGCGACTCGAAAACACTGAATGACGTCATCGAGCAACACTTCGAAAATCTGTGCAACGAGCGAGGTGGTCAAGAGAACGTCCCAAAAGCCCTTCTACGCCTCAAGGTGCTATTTATAATCGATGGCTTCGATGAAGTTCACGCCGAATCATTAGCTGTTGTAAGTGAGGTCATAAGGAAAAGGCGAAGAAGCAATTGGCGTGTACTGATCTCTAGTCGTCCTCATGGCATGGAGAAATTGGGACCAATCCTGACCCGCAATGACGCTTGCTACACTGCGTATGAGATTGTGCCTCTGAGAGCGCTTGAAGACCAACTTGAATTCCTGAGGAAGTACGAAGAGTCCTTTGGTAAAGGTAATAAGGCAGGAGAAATTACAAGGTGCTTCGAATCGCTCAATGAGGACGTCCGAAGTCTATTTACGGAACCCATTAACTTGATGCATTTCTGTGCCGTGCATAAGTACCTACCTGACATGATCTTATCATGGGAAATGCCTGGAGACGTGGCCCATAGTATCCTACAGTTGTACAAAAAACTCGTTCTGACGAAATTGTTGGATGCAAGTTACAACAAACCAGACGACCTTGTTGCCGACCTGTTTGAAGTCATCGGCAAAGAAGCATTAGAATTACTTGTAGAAAATGTCATAGTTATATCAGAAGAAAAGTGCGAGCACATTAAACAACAGTGTAAATTGAAATTTACTAAAAGGGCCAACGAAATAGACGATGAGATTCTCTTGTCAGTGGTTCTGAAAATACAAAGGCCACCGAATGGTAAAGGATGCACAAAATACTCCTTTAAGCACAAATCTATTCAAGAAATATTCGCTGCTGAATACGTCCTCCGTTGCATCATTAACTCAGACGAGTCCCTCAACCTCATCCTGGGAGTCGCGCCGGACCAAATAACCCGGTGAGAAAATAAGAAATAAATATATATACCTATATCAAATTCGTCAAAAAAAATAAATTCTGGGATCAAAAATACCAAATGACATGACGTATTCCGAAATGGCGAGGAGGGAAGCTGATCAACACACGGAGCAGCTGATCCTATCTCTCAGGCATTCTAACACAATTTTGAAGATTCTAACTATGAAATAGGTAAATCCTAAAATTTTAGGAGCTTATCAATCAGCTTCTATTTGTCCGCATTTTGTTCTACCATCCGTTCCCAAGTCAGACAAGTGCGAGGTCCTGGTTCCTACTCCAGCAGTCGATGAGCGGTAGGTGTTGAGTTCGCCCGAATTAGCGCGGTAGCTCAGGCCAAGTCTGACTAGAAGATAAAAATCCCCCCTTGTCTTTACTCCGTAGTGGGAAGGAGGCAGAGGCAGTTGAATTTATTGCCTTACTTTCTTTCAATACATAAACTCTAAGTCACTTTTTTTTAAACTGGCCGAAAATTATGACCATACAAAAAACTCACATCCCTACTCTGTTCAAACTTTAGTAAAGGCAACATGAGCCGACAGTTCTGCTGTGTCGCGCATTGCGTCAAAGTCTACCCTATAAGAGCAACTATGGCCGTTTCAATTCTCAGCTCTAAATTTTAACCTTGACATGTCACGTATTTTCAATTGGAAACAGCAGGTCATGCTCCTACACTTGAAACATCTTGGTGGTTGGCGCACTCAAGACGAAAATGAAGTAAAATATTTGTGAAGCAATTGTTAGAAAATCAAGCGGCAAATTTTCGATGAGAAGTGTAGTCAAAAACTGGTCAACGTTTTGACTAGTTGGAGAAAATTTTGTTTAAAAGAAGACTGGGGTACATGACATGTCCAAAACATAATCCGCTAAATGCACGTTAACTCTACTGCCAATGGTGCAATGTGCAATTTATGAGGATTGGCTTCCAAACGTGTCCAATTTAGTCATAAAAACTTTCACACTGAAATGACTCATGAATTTGCTTCACGGTCCAATTTTTTCAGGGTAGGACTTTCCAATAGATTGACGCCCCTAAATTGGATAACGATTCGAGCGACTTTTCCCATTGTGAACGTTACCTCTGAACTCGAAGTTTTTATCTGTTAGCAATGACTAGCGGGAAGTTCCCAGCCAAGATAAATGAACTGCACCAAGTTCTCAGTCATAAGCAGTAAACAGTAGCTTCCAAACCATGAGAAGAAAACTCCATTATCGTAACCCTAATGTTTTTTACAAAAAAAAACACGAAATTAAATCAAAATGTTCGCAATTTAATGCAGCGTTTTTGAAAACGCTGAAAAGGTAGATGAATACTGTGTCTCACCAGATGAGGAACAAACCAAAATATGTTGTATGTAACAGATAATTACCCAAGATCTTATTTTGTGACTACACATCCTATAAAACGCTGTCACAAACGCTTCCACCAGCTTGCGGGAAGTGCTGTTGTACGTGGTGCCGGCCCTCAGCAACCGCAGTGGCAGCCACTTCCATCGGCGGTGGCGGGAGCTGAAGGAGGCCCTAGGCTACTCCGGCGTCACCGCGGACGATGTGAGGAACTGCGTCGCGCGCTGTCCTGACCATGTCGCGCAGCAGGTGGCCGAGCTTGCTACCTTGGTTGGAAACGAGGACTGGAGGATCCTGAACGGTGGGTGAAGTTCAAATGTGTTTGATGTGGTGTTAGGTTTACTCACGTTGGATGTAGTGGATGATGTTCACGTGTGTTTGATGAGGTGTGAGGTTTACTCACGTTGGATGTAGTGGATGACGTTCACGTGTGTTTGATGAGGTGTGAGGTTTACGCACGTTGGATGTAGTGGCTGGTTCACGTGTGTTTGATGAGGTGTGAGGTTTACTCACGTTGGATGTAGTGGATGACGTTCACGTGTGTTTGATGAGGTGTGAGGTTTACGCACGTTGGATGTAGTGGCTGAAGTTCACGTGCGTTTAATGTGGTGTGAGATTTTCTCATGTTCTTTATAATGCACCACGTTCACATGTTTAATGCGGTGTGTAAAGTTTCTTTCGGCATCCTCGATGGAAACTCTCCGATTTGCTCACGTCATACGGTCCCCCTATATGACCGGATCACCATTATCAGTTCACATCTTCTCGACACATACTGGGCTCTTCACCTCACACTTAATTCTGTCCTTATACACATTATTTCTCCATTAAACCCTCACCATCTCAACGGTTCCTCAAACTGACCTTTTTTCCATTAACTTCAACAAAGGTCACTGGCCAGACTTCACGGCCGCGGTGTTGGCTGCACTTCAGCCGGAGCCCGTCCTCACCTCGTGCGGGAGCAATGGCTATAATAGTCACCCTGCAGTGGCTTAGACTCCCGCACCTCTTAGACTGCCTTGTTAAGTTTTGTACCTGCTCGACTTCAAACCAAGTCTCTCAACTGCCGCAGCTCTTTTCCCGCTCGCGCACCTAATTGCGGATGGCTTCAACTCGCAACGAATCACAGCCCGCACAGTAGCATGCCGCCATCGACTTTCAAAATCATTCGATACTGTCAACCATGCTCTGTTCTTCTCTCTATAAACAACAGCTACAACGTTCACTCGTGTAAAACGTAATGGGTGACATTTAGATTTATTTGATGTATTGTGTGGCATACACTAATGTTGGATGTTGTGGGAGACGTTCGCATCTGTTTCATGTGTTGTGCGATGTGTGGCCTTCATGTTACTTGTGTTGAGGGATGTTTACTCATGTTGAGTGTGGTGATTGACGTTCACTCATGTTGATTGAGGCGAGTGACTCTCGCTCATGTTGACTGTGATGTGTGACGCACACTCGTGTTGAGTCGTCTTTCACAGCGTCAAAGAACTGTTTAATTTCCCCTATGTTGACCGCATCAGGTCGCCATGTTGCAGTGGGAGTAGCGATGCTGTGCCACTGGAAGCCCCGACGTCTTGTGGTGGACATTGACTACGTCGCCCTGAAAGAGACGCAGTGGGGGGAGTTCGTGGCGAGAGCGGAGGGCGTAGAAGTGGTGCTCAAGCTCCGTCCTGACGACTATCAACCCCTAGACGACTTACTTGTGCCGCTACGCAACAGCGGGTGAGAACCTGCAAATGTAAATGAATAGCACCAAGGTTTTCTCTTTTACGCTGGAAAACCTCTTGTTGCATTGCCGTCGGAGATCTCGGTCTAAACTCTCAGAACAGCCGAATGTTCTTAAATCAACTCGAAGATAATACATAGAATGATTTCCCAGCAAATACCTTGATCGCCACGTATAGCCCACAAAGAACTTGAAATAAATAGCCCACAGACGAACTTTCTTCAAGCTGTTGCTTATTAACTAGTAGATGAATTGTTTCTATCTATTGTCATTTCATTGTTAAGAGTGTACGACATATCAGTATGTCGCTATGGCCTCTAAAACACTATGTCGTCTGGATAGGAGCCTTTAGCACATACGGACGGTACGGTAGGCGTCTCTATGCGTCGTCATCAAGGCCTCTGGACGGCGTCTTTATCACATATTGGTGTCTTCTGCACTATAATCACTATTAATCAACTACTAGTCAGAATACAACAAAATATTTTCCTCGTTCGTGGGCTAAATTCAAAGTTCTTTGTTGTTGTTCACTGATCTACGTGGATGAGAACAACTTCGGTCGTGAAAGATAACTTCTGTGATCAGGATGACGGATTTACGGAATTTTTTTAATATCATTCAAGTTATAACTGAATTTGAATGTAAAGAAAAAATTTAGATACCGGTTTCATGAAATGAATATTAGTTAAAAATAATATAAAATCAGTAAAATGTCACAAACAAGTTTTCCCAATATAAAAAGACATCTGCGCGTGAAAAATAAAGTTCAAGGGGAAAAACGGCTCCTTTCTCTTGTCTTAATTTTGAATGCATTGAAAACAATCAATCACTTCAGTTTATTTAACCATTACCATCCTGGGGGACAGGGTGAGGCTGTCTCATTTCTGTGGGTGCGTTGGCCCTGCCGGCGTGGCAGTGCTCGCCTCTGTGGCTTGCGACTCTTCCTTGTACATCCGCATGGCGGCGCCCCTCGACCTCAGCGCCCTCAGTGGAACCTACTGGTATCTCGGTGAGTCTTGCCCAGCTGAGGCTGTCCCTCAACGGGACACACTGATACCTCGGTGAGTCTTGCCCTGCTGAGGCTGTCCCTCGGGGGACACACTGGTGCCCCGGTGAGTCTTGCCCAGCTGAGTCTGTTCCTCGGGGGGACACACTGGTACCTCGGTGAGTCTTGCCCAGCTGAGGCTGTCCCTCGGGAGGACACACTGGTACCTCGGTGAGTCTTGCCCTGCTGAGTCTGTCCCTCGGGGGGACACACTGGTACCTCGGTGAGTCTTGCCCTGCTGAGTCTGTTGAATCGAGGAGAGTCGCTGCACTGAAACTCTGCAATGAAACGAGATTTTATGTCGAGAAACTTTCTGAATCAAGTCAGCAAACCATTACACTGATAAGATTTGCCTTTGGAATAGAGACTATCGATTCTCGCTTCCCTCTCTTTACGAGGTTTTCATTAAGCTACACGTTTAATAAAATTAGTTAAATGGTTCGACATAATAACAGTAAATGCTCAAAGCGGTTTTTGAAAATTCACTCTTTAAGGGATGTAAATCAAAACCATGTTTTATAAGTGATATGAAGTTATGTTCTCAGTGAAATGTGTCCAAAATGTGGCACCGCGATTGGAATATTAGTTTCTTCCTGTGCATTCTTCTTGTCGGCAAAATCTGTCCAGCTTTGCTATTATTTTTGTTAATTTATCAAGAAAATAATGACGTAACGCGTGATAAAATGTTTATTGAGTTTAACAAATAGCTCTGGAGTGATGCAAATTATTTATGAAACTGTAATTTATTTTATATTATTATTTAACTTATATCAATTTCCCCGAAATAGACAATTCGTGAGAGTCAAGAATCCTTTTTCACCAAATCCCGCTATCATGAATACCGCTACAAATTTTTGAACTAAAATTTGGTTGATGAGTGAACGATTCATTTAATCCAACATTTAAGGAAGTATACACATAAAACTACCGTGTTGGAGTTCAAAAAGCGTTTAAATCTCTGTACTGAAATTAAATCTACCGCCTGGTGGGAAAAAGCCCCCATAAATATTTTTTATATACTTTTACATTATTAGGACAATAAATTATAAATTCGTATCGCCTGTTTGTAATTAAGCAGAAAATACTATGATATTTTTTAGCTGATGGCCAGTAAGCAAAGACTGACTTTACTGGCTCAAAGAGCCAGTAAAGTCAGATCTGGAATAATGTTCTAAGGTTACAGTCAACTGTGCAACATCAGCCACACACATTCAGTTAATTAAGTGAAGGTATCCAGGAAAAAGCAACAATAGTAGCTAAACTAAATTTCATTCAGTAATTAACTGTATAACGTCTATGAGCTTGACGCTACTGTTGTGTAGTAGTGGTAGCGGTATAGAGATGAGAGAAGCGAGTCGTGGGTTCGAGCCTTGGGAAGCTCTGCTCATTTCTCGGTGTCGCTGGGAATTAAGGGGGCGCTTGGTTGCCGTCAAAGGTGGTGCTTCCAGCACGGCCCTGGATTGGTGTCGCTAAAGGAACTCAGGGCACTTGTTACCTGGGGGATAATAAGGTCTTAATTAAGGTCCATTGTGTTCACTAATTAACAAAGGAACGTCTAAGAGCAGCAGGAAAGACGGTGCTAAGTGATAAGAGTTTACCTTATGGTTATAGAATACCGCACTAATGGTATTTGGTTACATGTTGCGAATAATTGATTAATACAACAGACTTGAATCATGCTGAATTATCGATTAATTTTTAAAATGTACTGTCCAGATTGATGATTTACTTTTATATGGAAACCATTGGCCAAAGTTATTTATATGGGAAACTTTCAGCTGGAAAACAATTAATTAAGTTGAAAACACTGGAAGGCGGCAAAATTGAAACTCGACACAAACAACACCAAATGACAAAAATGAGTGTATAAGCATAGAATTCGCTTGAAAACCAAAGAATGGTTCCTTGAAGACCTTCACCTTCATTCTCAGGTTTCCAATCGAACTCTGAGCTTGACGCTAAACTGCATCAATTATAAAATTTTAGAAGAAACAGAATCCTTCTTGTGTTTTTTCTGGCTGCGTATGTTGGCCGCACGGCGCTCACAAGCCCACGCATGACGGCATTGTGCACCCACCCTATCAAAATTTTTAGTTGGTGGCGACCCTGAATTAGGAACCGCCTAGGACTCGGACCGAACGTAAATCAACTTCTCTATGTCCGCTTTTTGGTCTACATTCCGGTCCCCTAATCAGACAGCTACAAGTGCCTGGTGAGAGGACTGAGGGGATTCTGCCAACTCTTGCCCTACTCTCAGGAGACTATAAAGTCGACAAGGAGGTTCTGACTAGTCGTTGCTGGTGTTACTGATGTAGCTATTTCTCCTGTTGCTGCTGATGTAGCTATTTCTTCTGTTGCTGGTGATGCTGATGTAGCTATTTCTTCTGTTGCTGGTGCTGCTGATGTAGCTATTTCTTCTGTTGCTGGTGTTACTGATGTAGCTTGAATTGCGATCAGTTGGCCAACTGACCCCCAATAACTCTAACGCGAACATAACAACTCTGGGGTGGAGGCTGAAGCATACCCCGAATTTTGTCAGGGCAGCGGAAGTTATACAAATTTAAATATTATTTATAATTTTAATAAACTGTTACGTTTTCTTAAATGTAAACAATAGGAATAGGAAAGTTTTTTCATAAATATATTGAGGAACCATTTTAAAATGAATATTCACTTAGAGAAGAAGGGAACTCTTGGTAAACTCTAATCAAATTTCCAGGAGAAACTTTTGAGAAAATGCTCACTTAAATAAAATTAAATTGTTCAACCAGTGGATGACAGACTAACGTCCAAGAAAATTATTGGAAAACATAGTTAAAATTCGGCAATAGAGCATTTTCGCCGGTTCCACAGTGCATTGTGCGTGCAGTCAATAACAAGGACTGTTTGATATTCCGCTGACATACCAAACCTGCGGGCTTGAGCGTCTGGCGGGCTGGGGACTTTATTGGAATTTTTTTGAACGAGTTTGACAGATTTTTTACTGGAAGCGAATGAGTTTGACGCGGTGAAGTTGGACGCTCAGAATTCAAGGAAAAATAAGGGAAGGTTTAAGGTTAAATTGTTGACATCACACGCTGGAAAAAAATGGCAATTATTTTGTGCCAATCTCATTTTGGGCGTCAGGATTTTAATATTAAATAAGTCATACATTACAGGATGAAGAAAAGTATTATAGGTGTCAATTTCTGCATGGTTACATTTTCCGGTAAATCAATAATATTATTATAATATCGATTATTTCAATCTAAATGCAAGCTGTTTGAATCCATTGCAGAATTTAGTAATACAGCTAGAGGGAACGATCGGAATTAATTTTTATTAGAGCGATATAATTATTCGGGATTAATGTAGGTCTTCTCTTTTATTTCCCGATGATTAATTAATTATTGAGAAGTAATTATTCATTAATTAGGATTCATGTTTATCGTCTCTTAATAATCCCTGTACTCCTAGTAATCTGGTCACGCCGAGACTCGTTAAATTAAAATTTTAGAAACAAAATTCCAGGACGAAATGAATATTTCAATGTTGTGGGACTCTCCATATAATTCTGAATTGCACAGACTGGGTCTTTGTCACTGAAATTTCAATCAAAATAAGTTAATTAAATAGCTCTCGGCAATGCTCTTCTGGTTGGCGGTATATCGGCTTTCGGACTGCGCTATATTTAGGTGACGAATTTTTAGCGTAATATCAAATATTTTAATTGGTTCTGTCTATGCGGGATGCCGGAAAAATTACATCACTAAAATTAAATGAAATTTAAATTAATTTTGCATTATCTTAACGAATAATATGGAAGTTATGGAGCCGTATGCTGAATAACTTTAGTGATGTGAATATATAAATAATTAATCGGACGCTACGAGCGAAGCGAACCATGAAAGACATATTTCATTGAACGAATTCAGTTTAGTCAAAAGTTTTCAATCAAAACGCATTGTTTGCTATTGGTGTTATATGGATCAAAAGGCCTGAAGACTATAGTATTATTAATCCGAATAATCACTTTCCTAACAAAATGTGAGGTCATAATATATGGCGGATAATAATTCATTCCATTAAATTACCTTCTCGAATGACTTGTATGTATTTTTTCTATATCATTTTTAGGGGGAAGAGCCACTTCTTTTCAAACATTCAGTGAAAAACCTCAAATCTTCAGAGAAAAATTTAATGCGATAAAAAATACACATAACGCATGATCGATCCTATTGTATTTGGTGGGGTTAGGCCACTTGAAGAAGTAGAATTCCTTCACTAAAATTAAAGAAACAATATTTTAGTTTTCGTAGAATCAATACGTGCTGAGCTCAGACATCTGAAACGATATCTCAGCAGAATTATTCAGTTATATAATTCAATATGAACAATCGCCCCTTCACTCAGGACTTGAATTTTATAATTTAATTCAAATAAGTATTTTTCTTTATAAAAATGCACATAAAAACTACAAAATAATTGCTGAATCATTATAAATTTTATATCTTACCGAACTATTAAATCAAAATTCAATAACTGAGGATAAAAATAAAATTATGATCCTGCATTGACTCTGATTATTTCTTAACAAATTTTTTCTGATTAGTTTGAATTTTTAGCATGAGACTTTCATCCAGTGTCAGTATAAATAAAACAAATAAAAAAACTTTTAAAAACCACGTTTTCTTAACGGACGAAAAAGAAAAACATTTACTCGTACATAACATTTACTCGTACATAGTTATGTAAAATGTTATGAAATGTTATGTAAGAGTAGATGTTTTTCTTTTTTGTCCGTTAAGAAAACATGGTTTTCAAAAGTTTTTTATTTGTTTTATTTTACTATTTTTAGTTTTGTAAAAACCAGAAAAACGTGGTTTTTAAAAATATTTTTATATTTATTTATTTTCTACTTTTTAGTTAGCAATTTTAGCAATTCAAATCAATTTCCAGGGTTGGCAAGTGTGGATGTTCGAGAAAAAACTCTATTCTAAACCGTGAATTTTTAGTATTTTTTTATTTTAAAATTAAAAAAAAAAATTTAAATATTATTTCTGATGATCAAATCTTGAATTGTTAGGCAGCATAAACATGCATGCCAAATTTCAACTTACTAGTATGTTTAGAAGTGCTCTAAATTAAGAATTAAATTTTTGATGACAGACAGACACGAAACGAAGTCAAGAAAAACGTGGTAAAATAGACAAGTTTGATTTTTCCAGATTTTGCCTATTCCAGTCTCGCCCATAACGGGTTATATGACCAGGGTGCTGAGTCTGTCCCTCGGGGGGACACACTGGTACCTCGGTGAGTCCTGCCCAGCTGAGTCTGTCCCTCGGGGGGACACACTGTTACCTCGGTGAGTCCTGCCCAAAATTCACGGGACGGAGGCATCCTTAAACATGCAGGCGTTATACAATTGTGTATTGTATTGTTGTTTTTTATTATTGAATTTTTAATATTTAACTAGGTTATTTGTTGATCATTAATCTATGAGCGATTTTGCGGCTATTATTCATTATATGGGAATGATAAATATAGTATAATATATTCAATTATTTAATTTTACCATATAATATAATTTATATAACCTATTTTGTATCTATGTGTTTCTCCATGAAGCATTGACTTTGATCCATGGACGAATATACCAGATCTCATATGTAGTATTCACTGTTAACTTGCATGACCTCACTGTTAACTTGCATGTCCTCACTGTTAACTTGCATGTCCTCACTGTTAACTTGCATGTCCTCACTGTTAACTTGCATGTCCTCACTGTTAACTTGCATGTCCTCACTGTTAACT